TATTGCTAAGCAGCGAAACTTACTGAAATATTATATTCATACACAATACTACTCACTGCTCACCCAAAGCAAATGATGTTGTAAGCAAGCGACAATATCATTTTTCGTGTAAAATTATGATGAAAGCTGGAGCGGTCACTCCATACCTTTGCAATAAATTATAATTTCTAATATTTGATTAAGAATTTAAATTTTGATGGATTTTAGATTGATAATAATTAATGCTATATATTTTTCTAAATATCTTTTTAATGTAATAAATTATCTTATTTGTTTTATTATTATTAATTTTTAATTTCTTTCTTTTTTGTTTGGAAGTCCTAATAATGATTAACTTGACAACTAAAATATTTTTTGATTACTCTCCTATTTTCCTAAATGACTATATAATGCAATAATTTTTCTTTTTTTCTTTTTTACTCTATTTTTTTTAATAATTGGTCTGACAATTAAATTATATTTTTCAGAAATGAAACTTTTTATATTTTTTGAATGACTGTTTAATACTTTAAACTAAATTTTTGATAAATTTGATATTCTGTTTTTATCTTATATCTTATTTTTTTATTTTCATATACAATGAAAAACCGAATGCATTATTAATAATGCATTCGGTTTTTCATTGTATATGAATTATTGATTAATAATTTCATATATATTTTTAATTGTATAGCACTCTCTTTCCATATTTTTCTGTATCATGCTTTTCAGATTGTTTTATATTTTTAAGTAAGGGCCCCATAATCGTCAGCATACAGCCGTTCTGGATCACCGTCGGTAAATAAAGTTGAATAAAAAAAGAAATAAATAAATTGTCTTGCCCCTGATTCACTTCTTTTTAGGCCACTAATGTACCTCTCCACTAACGTTTATGATGAACCATAATAGTTTAATCTGTATTAATGGATTTAATTTTTCTGTGCCTTGATATTGATTTTTGTAATCAAAATAAATTACCTTTTCCTTTGACCTACTAAATTTTTATTGCGGTGAATAGAAGTATTTTTGAAAATATAGGGCCGGCTATTCACAGATTAAGTTTCCCCAATGTCATCAGCAAAAATAATGTGAATATCTGTATACAAGAATATATATATATATATATATATATATATATATATATATATATATATATATATATATACAGTACATATATATATAATTATATATATAAGTACTTATGATACTATTTCAGACTTGTAATTGTAACTATTCACTATTTTTTAAATGAATAATTAAACGTACAGTTGGACAAGGAAATTCCATCTTTTAAATGTTTTCAGCAAGAATGTGAAGTGTAATATTGAAAGGCGATTTAAAACCAAGAGGAATCTGACGGCATCCTCATGTAGGCCCATTGAATGATAATTGTTTGAAGGTTTCATGGTGACATTATATAATGATACTTGCTTGTGGTATAGAGCGTACGAGAAAAGAATTGTTGTTTTTGTCTCAAAGGTGTTTTGTTTAAATTTATTCAATCGCCATTAAGAGAATTGCTCCTGGTATTATTCTCCTGATATAGAAGCAACTTAATTGAAACGTCGATAGACTCTCAACAAAAACAACAATTATTTTTAAAATTATCTACTCACGAAGTGTACTGTTTATTATTGTAAACACAGTGTAACACTTATTATTTTCTTTACTTGCTCAAGGATGTCGTAGCAGAGACTGTTACAGGCATTTACAAAACGGAGTCGGTGGGATCTGAGAATAGGCCTATTAGCGATAACTATTGCTAATGCTTACTATTAATAAGCCAAATATTTATTACCATTGTAAATATTCTAATGTTAGTTTAGCCCATCAATATGTTATTGTTAATATACATTATTTCAAATCAATTAAACATAAATTGTCAAAGTACTAAAAACATTGCTTGAAATTTAGTCTGAATGTATGTACACATAAAATTGTAGAAAACGGCATATAAAACACATTCAATCAACATCAGAGTTTAAAAAAGAGCAAAAATGCGAGATAAAACACGATAATACAAAATTTATAAAGCAGTGAAAACGGATAAAAATGTGGAGATTAATTAAACAGCATCATACATTATTTAATTAGATAATTGCACGATTATCTTTTCCAAAACAAATTAAATTGCTATTAAATTGACATTTTTACTTCGTCCAGTATTCCACTGTGGACACAGAATACGACCAGCTCGACTTAACGTGATAATTATATTAATATGAAGGGGGTGAATACTATCTGACATAATTAATTTAAATTTATTCATCATTGCATTTCTCACAATTTAATAAGGTTTCTTAATTTCAGTTCTTATTACTTTCTGTCAGACTTGCTGATTTTGCATATTTATAATATTTTGGACCACAATGGTAATAAGTTTGCCTTTTTTTGAACTTTATTGTGTTTTATCCATGAATGGTCTTTCGTATTAAGAATAAAGAAATAAGATTTTTTTAAATAGGAACTTTCTTAATAATATATACTTTATTTAGACTTACACCAACCAATTGCACTGAACGTTAAGACAGATAAAATTACAGAATTATAAGATAGTGTCATGATCTTGTTGCATACATGGACTTTCTTCATTCTTCATAAAAGGAGCCTCTTGTAACATTTACTGGTGACTTGCGTAGTGTCCTCCTTCCAGTTAGTTAAAACCGTGCCTAGATACTTATGATACCACATCAACTTCATACATAATGGTCTGCTCATCATGTGTCCTACTTCTAAAATCGATTATAATTTCTTTAGTCTTCTTAACATTTAATCTAAGATAATTATCTGTAAACCAGGATGAGAAGTAGCTGACATTCTCAAAATATGACTTAGTTCCATTATGTTTCACAAGACCAACCAGACAGGTGTCATCAGCATATTTCACAGTAAAACATTATTGGTTAAAAATTGATCATTAAAACAGTTAAAATCATTAGTGTATACAGAGAAAGAAGTTGGTGAAAGAACACAACCCTGAGGTGCACCAGTATTGCACAAACGTGTTTCTAAAAAAGTTATTAATCCATAAAATGAGAGATGGGTTAAATCATAAAACAATCTTTTTTCTCCATTAAAACATGAGGTTGCAATGTAGTAAAAGCAGAGGGAAAATCAACATGATCAAGGACAATATTTATTAAAGTCGTGACCGCATCTTCTACTATTTTAGGGCGGTATGCAAATTAGCCATTTGCAGGAATCTAATTCATTTCAACCTCAGTTAAAATTTCGTTCTCAACCAGCTTCTAATATATTTTGCAACAGAAAAATATTTTTTATTTTACCAACCCCATTAGGTTTTAATAATATCTCTTTCTCTATATATTATGTTTGTTACAAACAATGTACCTTCATTATATGAATACAGGAAGTCAGTTTACAGTTTTAAAACCAAAATCGAAATGAGCTGCAACAAACGTTGTTATATGTACCGGTACAAGCAGGTATATATTGCTGTTGCTGTGTAATTAATAATTTATTTTTATACTCATAAAAATCTCATCGTTGTCAGTATCTTTATGTTAAAATCTAATCTCTTCTCCGTCTCATTCTAAGTTTTTTAGACAAACACGCTGAATTGTTTATTTTTATTTTTTATTTTTTTTTATTTTTTTCATAATATTACAAGCATTGTTAATTAACCTGACAGTCAATGTGCACTTTGAGTAAATACCATTTACTCAAACTGAACATTGCATATAGAAAATACAATATTGGAGCTATATAAATCCTTGTTGATTGATTGATTGATGAATCCCTTATTAATTGATTGATTGAGTAATTGAGTAATTGATTGCTAATGTTTATATATATACTTAACTGCACTGTATGGCATTTGTAATGTAATGTCTATGGAACTGATCTGAAATAAAGAATTATACGCAGTTGATGTTTTCTATTCGTTAATTTTGGCCACTCCACGTTTTTAATTGTTATACATTGCATCTGTTGCATGTTTTATGCCAATATAACCACGCTGACAGGATTAATTTAATTGTGAAAGTTTATGTTTAGAAGAGGAATATTAAGTTGCTAAAGCGTTGTTGTACCATGCCACGAAATATACTTTATATATTAATCATTGGGCGCCATTGTGATACGAAAATGGTTTTATTCATATATAAGCAAGAGGAACGAAATGGACAATTCCAAAAAAAAAATAACAAGAACTAATAAATAAATATCTTTACTCTATATTCCTAATAATAGCAATAATATTCTATTATTATTATAAAATAATTTAAAATAATAATTACCATTATTAATCAACGTCAATCAAAACATTAAAATTAATAAAATTAATAACGCAAATTAATAGCAATGTAAATAATATGTAAATAATATTGTAATTCAATTATATATAATTCAATTCAATTCAATAATACAATTCCAAAGAAAATAGCGAGAAACATAGCACTAAATAATTAATTGACAGCATTAAAATTAATATTAAGATAATACAAATAATAACGCACATAATAATGAAGAAAAAATATTGTAATTCAATTATAATCCCAATTCAATTCAATAGTACAATATCAAAGAAATAGCAAACACTAAATAAATACATATCTTTACTCTATACTAAAATAATTAACAATAATAATTACCATTACTAATCAATTTTAATAATTAGAATAAAATTAATAGGCCTATTACAAATAATAGTAAGACTGATATGTAAATTATAATGTAAATAATAATTCAAATAATAACAATAATAATAAAAATAATATTAACAATAAAATATTCATAATTATTATGATAATTATAGCCTAATTATTTGCGTAAACCGATATTTATTTACAATCGCTTTCAAAATATATATATATACCTATCTAAACTTAAAGCTGCAAATTCTAAAGGCACATCAAAATGGTTGATCGACAATACCTCACTGGTAACGTCTACTAGTATTTCACATCTATAAATTTACACAACCCCGTCCTGTGGAGAGTGACAAACAAACAACATTAACGTTATTACTGCATTAGTTAGGCTCCTAAGTAATGTTTATTTAATATCTTAAAAATAATATTTGGCAAGAGAGGTGAGTTCAAACTTTCTTTGCTGCCCACTTCATCATTTTCTCCTTTTCGTTCGAACATTACAAAAAACAATGATCTGCCATTAAGAAAATTCTTGCCGACTCACTAGGGCTCAGAGCTGGAGCTTATCCCCAGTTTCAAGTAGCGTGAAGCGGATGAGAATGTGATACTCCTCCTGGGTGAGACGCTTGTCCACCGCAGATACCCACTGATAGGTAGGGTAGACTGAATGTAGATAAAGTGCCTTGCTCAAGGACACAAGCGAAATCGGCACACAGCGAATGAGGATGGAAACCCCGGCTTCAGGGATGCCAACTAAATCATTTCCACTGCGCCAAACCACTTCCACTGACCTGCCATTATGTTTGGTGAAAATTAGTTCAAAATATACAGTAGTTTTTCTCCAAAGCATCATGTTGGGGGAGGGGGAGGGGTGGCTGGCTTTATGTCATTCTAATAAGTGGGGTTTCCAAAATACGTAAACTTTAGGGCTCAAGGCTTTCCAACGTGATTTATTCCAAAATACCTGAAAATAAGGGGCCCTAAGCATTTTCAATATAGGCGAATCTTTCCAAGGTAAACTTAAAATAACACTTTTTGAAGTCTGTAATGTCAACTACCATTTGAAGGCGACTTTTCATATAGTTGCAGTCCGTTTTCCTCTTGATCGGAAGCGATTCATTATTGCACGAAGAGATCTACTTCTGTTAAGGGTAGGGTTTGATCCGTATGAAGATGGAAAACATTTACCCTCTTCAATTTGCACTATCTGAAACAATTGAGAATACATTTTTGAACCATATTTGTTGACAGAGAATTTCAAATCTATAATACAACAAGAACAAGAACTTTAACGATGGTAGATGATATTGTATTAATTTAATTCAAATTTATATTTTAGTGATACTGCATGTGTTGGCAATCTATTGGAAATCTCAGAAATCTATTAAGAATATGTGAGCTTCGGGGCCATCACGGGGACCCTAGGCGCCCTGGTAGTATCCATTTATCAGTTTGTATCTGGTTTCTACAAGGCAAACCTAATTTGAAATTATATATATATATATATATATATATATACTGTCTCTTATACACATCTAGATGTGTATAAATAATCAAAGAAAGGTAAATACAGTGTTCGAATAAAGGACATAATAATAAATCGTGTAGCATAGCTCGCAACGAATGTAGTCCTGTAAAATAAATAAAGAAATTGTGTAATAAAATGCCTCTGGCGGGACTCGAACCTGCGACCTCTCGCTGTCAAGGCGAGCGTCATAACCATTAGACCACGGAGGTTTCATGGTTAAACAGATTCAAATACCACCAGATACACTCCATTACACAATAAGTACGGCTAGAAACAAATAATAGCATACACTGTAATAAATCAAGATAGCCGTTAAACTGTTAAATTATATACATAAATAATCAAAGGAAGGTAAATACAGCTCGCAACGAATGTAGTCCTGTAAATAAATTTACATGACTACATTTGTTGCGAGCTATGCTACACGATGTATTATTATGTCTTTTATTCGAACACTGTATTTACCTTCCTTTGATGATTTATGTATATAATTTAACAGTGTTAACGGCTATCTTGATTTATATATATATATATATATATATATACATGTGCACATATATGTGCCCATTCATGTGCACATACACACACTTACATATATATACATATATATACACACATATATATATACACGCATATATACACACATACATGCATACATATATACACGTATACATACACACACATACCACACCCACACACACCCACCTATATACACACACACCCCCACATACAAATAACAAGAGCATACACACACCCACCCACCCCCCACACACACATATATACACACACACATATACATATATACACACATACATGTATATATATGTATATTTATATGTATGTATATATGTGTGTAAATATATGTATGTATATATATATATGTTTGTATTTATATATTGAAGAGTGGGTTTGCATGTATGCTCCAAGTAAAATAAAATGCAAAAGCAATATTTATTTATTTATTGTAAGTGAACATTTTTGTTGTAGAACTTCACTATACCTGTCGTAAAAGCGTCTGAAATGCCTTATTCACGCTGTCAACTCCGTTTTCTGCCGACGTTTCATGGAACATACAGTCCAAGGTAACGTACTGCGCTGTTACTATCTCGCCTTCTATGGTCGATACTTGTCTCAAATGTTCCAGGTCTGCTTTGTTTCCTATCAGACATTTTGGAATTCGACTCGCAATAGCGTCCTGTGAAATACTGTCAAGGATGTCAATGGCGGCAACGAAAGACGGCCTCTTTGAGATGTCATACACGACCATTATGCCATCAATGTGTGAAGTGTCTGATGGAATAACATCGACCTGGAAAGAAGGGGTAATATAACGAATAAGTAAATGTCATGTGCTTCACGTGGAAGCACGAGCCTACTTAAATGAGTTAAGTGGTAATCATAAATTTAATGATGAAATTGATGAACCCAGATGATCCATAAAGTGATTATAATACTTGAAATTACTAGTTAAATATAGAACTACTTATTAAGTAGTCCAATCAATGTGGATCTTGTAAACCATGTTTGTTGTAAACGATAACTAGTTATATTCAGGTTTACTACAAAAATCCTTACATTTGAATTTCATTCAAGTTTTTGGTTAACAGTACGTACATTGTAAGCGCTTTTTTTGTTTGTAAACAAAATCTTGTACAGCATTATCGAAAATTCCCATGAAATTGTATATACAATCTAAAATTTACTAAGTTGCTAGCTTTATGGTGGATTTTCCCCCTTGCACCCCACTAGGGGCCCTGTCCGAAGACTCGCTCCGCTCGCACATTGCCCCACTCCTCCTCCCTTCACCATTATTAACAGGCTGAATCCACTGTGGATTACACTAGTCTGCTGCTAATGGTATACAAATACAATTTAATTTCAAACTATTTAATTCATGCACTTTTTGTAAAGACTGAAATACTTTAAGGTGGGCCTAAAATGACATTCAGAAAAGTATACGCTTTAAAGTAAAACAACAAAATGCAATATATAACAGGCGACAGAGTGTACATACCGTCTTGGCAGAGTCAGTAATCGCAACGTGCATACGGCAACTATCGATATCTATATACTTTTCCACTGTGATTTCTATATTGGAAAGATACAATTATTAATACATTTTAATTTAGACACATTTTCTTCATTATTCATACTACCATCGTTATATACAGAACATTTTATCACATAAAAAAGCCAACCAGTCTCATCAAAATTAATAATTTAAATTATAGATAGGAAATACGGCCTACTCTATTCAACTTCTCATTAGTATGACATTAGTTAGCAATTTTCAATAATGAAGATTATTTATTAAAAATGTTATGATATATAAATCCTTACCGGCCACCCTTAAGTGTCTGAACAACTATTATTGTGTGTGCAATTTTTTTTTTAAATTTGTGATGACAAATATTTTATTATATATTATTCCAATTTCTAAATATTGTACAAGCTATTTTTGGTACATAATTATACTTTATAAACGCTTTTTCATTTCACGGAAAAATCTAGAGCACACTATAAATCATTGTCACAATCATACTCACACATCTATTGTTCAATCCTACAAATTAATTATATCACAAATATTTATATAATCTGGGAAATAATTTTAAAAGAAAACAAAAGTATTGTAAAAAAATCTTTCTTGGAATAAAATACAAGATCTAAGTTTCATTTTATGCATACACAAATAACTTAAATAACATGTTTTGTTTGATTTAGGGATCCGGTAGCGGATTTCGACCAATCATGTTCGAGCGATGTATGTGACGTAATGATGAGATTAAAAACCCCAAGATAGAGCGCAGTTCGCGAAAGAGGCATCATCATGGCGGCAACGTTTGCTATTGTATTGGTGATATGTTTACTTCTTACGATTCTTAGGAAGAATTAATGTCGCGAATCGAGCGGTATCAGGCCAAAAATGTTTGTCGTTCTATACAAACGTGACAGCAGGACTATAGAAGCTGCCTCCAAACGGTTAACGAAGACTATTAAGCCTGATTCAGTTCAACCGTATTCATTTTATCCTGGTACCGAAACCTGACGTCTCGAGAATTAAAAAAAATAGCGTATCCGGTAGCGTAACTTTCATTTTTTAGATAACCAAAGCATCGTAAAATGTATTTAATTAAATCGGTTTACCCTTGACAAATGTGCCATTCACTCATTGCAATAATCAACCTTTTTATGTATTTATTTCCTCAAAAACTGTAAGTTTATTTCTTTGGATGACTAAAGTAATGAAAAAGTATTTATAGTCAATGGGTGTTCCTATGCAGTACTGTTGCCAGTATGTTTCTTAAAACCAGAATTTCATATATGTCATTTTATGCAGTTTAGTATCCAATGAAGTCATGTTGTGATGACATAATAGGAGCATAAGTAATGAAAAAGTAGTTATAACCAGTGGGTTTGCCCATGTTGATATACAGTACTGTTGAATTTCCAGTATGTTTGTTAAAACCATAATTTTCATGTCATTTTATGCAGTTCAGTATCCAATAAAGTCATGTTGTGATGAAAACTTGTTCTTCTTTGTTTTAATAACGATTGATACTATAGGAGCATTAGTAACGAAAAAGTATTTATAGTCAATGGGTTTGCCTATGTTGATATACAGTACTGTTGCCAGTATGTTTGTTAAAACCAGAATTGTCAATGTCATTTTATGCAGCTCAGTATCCAATAAAGTCATGTTGTGATGACATATGGAAACTTGTTCTTCATTGTTTTAATGCTCATTCATACTTAGGAACAGACAGAATAAATAATAATATTAGGTTGTACCTTTTTTAAAAAATTGTCTTTTGAACTACTGCGCTGATCTGTACTGTAGAAATTTAACAAACACACTAGCAGCTTATGTACTAATACTAACTACTGTACTGTGTAGTATCAAATTGGTTTAGTAATAATACTGTAGGCATTATAGTAATTAGTAATAGTAAAGGATATTAATGATTATATAGTAACAGTAGTAACAATGAATAATTACTGTATAATACAGTATATGCCATCACAAGGCAGTTTATATATTTATTTGAATTGACAAGTCGCCAATGTTTGTCTTTAGTCTCAACAGGTCCCTATCAAACGCCACGTGCAGCCATTTCCTACCAACCACTCGCATAAAATTTGATAACTTAGGGTCAATACTTGCTTATTAATAAATTATAAACAGTCTTATACCGGAAATTGTCTTAAAATTTATATAATATATATATATATAATAGTGTGTATATATATGTATATATACATGTATATGTATACATATATACATGTATATGTATATATATATATATATAATATATATATATATATATATATATATATATACATGATATATGTGTATATATATACCTTACACACATATGTACGTGTATATGTACATACCGGTATATATACATATATATACATATACATATACGCACATATACGTACATGTATATATATATATGTATATGTATGTACATGTATATATATGTATATGTATATATATAGGCCTACAAATACTATATATTTCCTCTATTTTCATTCATCATATATCATTCAGTATATTTTCATTTATTTATAGGCCTATTATAAACATGATCAGAACAATACGGTAAATGAACGTGACAAGGCAACAAACGTATGACAAACTATCTAGTGACTATACTTTTTTCATAAATATCCATTTAATTTAATTTAAGCATTAATTGCATTAATGAACATGCAATCAAAAAATATATATCGCAACAAACGATAAAAACTACACCTTGTAAGTTCACAGGGAAGTTTTATTGCTTAGTGTGGTTCCGAATGTGCTTTTAGCTGACCACAACAGGATTGGCAGTCAAAATAACGTTACTTGGATAGGTAAATTACTGTATTATTATTTTTTTTTAATTGTTGATCTGATGACAGAAAAAGGCTATGGGCGAGTTTGTTAGTGGGTGGCGACTTTGTTGGGGGGGGGGGAACTGGGTATAGCCGGTGGGGCGAGTTTGTTAGTGGGTGGCGATTTTGTTAGGGGGGCGAAACTCGGCTGTGGATGGGTTAGGCAATGATCACGGCTGCTTATGGGTTGCAGCGCTTCGTATCTGCAAAGAAAGGCGCTTTACAAATGTACTTCTGTTTGGATTGGATTGGAGTTTGTAGGCCTAAAGGGGGAGTTTGTGAGGGGCGAGTTTTTAAGGGGGTGAGATTGCAAGGAACGAGTTTGCTAGGGGCGATGTTGACTGGTTCCCACCTATACATACATATACAATACATATTCATACATATAGATTAAAGTATAGGTGATAAAATGGTGTTGAGAACTAAAACTAACTTCAACTGGTAGGTAGAGTAAATTAGACAATAAAGTCTCGTGCGAAGAGTTAAAAACCTTTTTATTTTTCACTTAAAGTACTGTACAGAAACGTCATTAACTAATATTAGGCCTATATGCTTTCGTTTCTAGCACCTAAGCATATCATACTTTGCTATCCAGAATATTTTGTTTCAGAAAACTATGTTAGTCACCTATCATTCACCTGAATACGTTTACTATATTCCATTAGTCTGAAAAGTTCTGTCTGTTTGAATTACCTATTTTTAATTGTAAGTTAAATTTAGTTGAAAATTTACTATTAAACATTAAATAATAAATTAAAAATTTTCAAATATTTTTTGTTTGTTATTCCTAATTTCATTCTAAAGAAACAGCTATTAATCAACTCCAGGATTTAAAATGAAAAAGAAACCTCATAAGAGGCCAAGCCAGACATCCTACCTTCTTTTGGCGCGTATTCTGTCAGAAACCTTTTCGTTATGAATCGTACAGTCAATGCTAAAACAAACAAGAAATAATAATAAGTAAATTTTCACATTTTTATTCCATTATGAACTGTGTACCACTCAGTAGAGGTTGCTTTTAAATGGTGACAATGATACATTTTAAATCAATTAATTAAATTATTTAAGAATTAGCCCATGCAATCTCACCTGCGAAATAACAGTGATGATCATATCATGATCATATTCATTGCTTGACCAAGACTTTTGCCAGGCACCCACTACGTCGTACGCTCATCGGCCGACGAATCCAACTCCGCTCCCTGGGAGCGCAAGAGGACGCGACGCCGTCTGCTGGTTGTTAGCGGCAGTCTGCATTGAATCGTCATTAAAAACGATCAGTTGAGCGCCAGGTTGAGCGCGCGTCGTGGCGTTGCGTTTTCCATAGAATCACGTCACTCGACGAGCGTCGGGCGCAGTGAGTGCCCGGCTTAACCGAACTCGAGAAGAATTTATAGATATTTTACTGAAACTTAAATAAATACAGTAACAAACTAATTCATCATAACTAATAGTGATACTAATGGTCCAGAAATTAGAGGGCCCGGGGAAGTACTTTCACAGATGGAAGATCCATACCACCTCAACCCCGACATGGTTTGGGCTGAAGTAAGAAAATTTGTTTTTATAAATCATTTTATCTTACTGCTTTATAATGTGATTTCATGTGGTAATTGGGTATAGTTTAATATCATTTCCTATGTTTTTATCAATTTACATTATTATTGTTGAATAAAGAAAAAATTAAATCGATTTCTAAAAGCAAACCAGCCTCAGTTATCACACCGGTGGCACTTTGGTGATCGAAACACTTTTTCTAACGACTCCAGAGGCATGTAAATACAAATCACAATTTTAAAAGCTGTTATCGATACTATAATAATAATAATAATAATAATAATAATATTAATAATGAATTAGTACTGTATTTTTAATATTATCGTATCCTTATTATTTAAAATAATATCTATAAATAATTATTATTATAAATTTTAAACTTATTAATAATATGATTAATAATATAATTGTTCCTGTCTCTACCAAGATAGAATTAATTTGGAAACGAAGCTTACCTGACTTGCCTACGCCTGAATCACCAACAACAAGAATATGATAAGGTCTATTCCTCGTGATAATTGATTTGTAGCCCCTAACGGATCCTATAGTACGAGGTCGCTGGGGTAGCGAACACAATGATGTTGTATGTCTTCCATTTGATCGCATTTCTCTGTGTGGATCAACGGCTCGCTTCAAAAGGATCAGCAACAGTTCATTAATCTGCAAGTGGACTGGAAAACAAGTATTAACAGTTGTGATATTGTCTAATGAGAACACACTATAGGTTATACAGGCCAGTATAGTGATCCAACATGGCCACAGAAAGCTATGTATTACCATTGTAAAACTTAAAAATTATGTGAAGCGGATGTAGGCAGCAACCCTTTTAATTGTTAAAAGCTAAACACGATTTAGTGAGAGCAATCATCCATCGAAAAACTTACCCGGGCGTCTTTAGTTGAGACCCAAATTAGAAATTAACCCCAGGACCGAACAGTAAAAACAGCATACATAGTCCGTAATTTGAAAATTTATGCTCATAATTAGTTCTTTATTTGAAGATCGTCATTGATCCTGATGAAAAATTGAATCAATAATGGAGATATGGGTCTTTCTGGTGTGTGCTTCAAAATCATAATTATCTTAATATACAGTAATCAGTGAACCACTTGGTTTATTATCATTAGACTATCCAAGCATAGTGACATTACGAAATAGATGATATAATGATAAATAATAAGGAAGAAATTATGTATATTGTAAAATTAGATCTGAACAAAAAGTGTTAGTAGCTTATACTATTGGTAATTAGATATTTGGCTCTTTCAATACTGAAGGTATGCCCAAATGAGGACACCACGGGTCTAACTACTGAAGGTCTTCGTCTTCTTATTTCATCAATCAATACGAAAAAAATAATAGTGGCTAAGTGAAAAATGCTCACCTTTTTTAGTCTTACAACTTCACTTCGGCACCAGAATATTGGGTATTAGTCGCAACTTTTTAAACTCACAGCTGATAAAGTATTATAATTATAAGGCTCACCGTTGTCTCTGGTTGGCATGTGCTGCTGAGTTACTGTACCTATTCGAAAGAGGAGGCCTAAGATGGAAGTAGCAATTGTAGAGCTCAGCAATTGTAAAGTACAGGCTGAAGAAGCTAGATTACGTGTTCTATAGACAATGTCATTGACGCAACTGCCTAATTTGGTACTTTATAATAATGTCAGATGGTATTACCTACGAGATAACTGTTACTAGGACGCTTGTCTTTTATTGAATGTATTGTTCTTGTTCTTAACACCAAATTAACTGTCCATTGTAGGTGCATGGCTCATTATCCTCGAAAGGACTTTTGTGATTCCATGAAGTAATCGCATACCCATAACAAGGAGACCTCCTTGCTCATAATATTGCCTTTGAGGCGACTTAATTAAGATTTGCCATAGGCCTAATAAATCAACTAAATTTAAAATAAACTCAGCTTGTCAAAAACGGGCTATGCCACTTAAGTTTCTGTGTGAAAATTAACGTTTTAGTAAAAATCTGCCTGTTTTTTAATTTCCCATGTGTTCACCCGCTAACCCTTAATAAGACAGTATAATACATACTCCAAGTATAGAAATGCACGCCATCGTGTCAGGATTCAATATTTCGAAAATAATTATGTTATCATCAGAAATCATCATTCCTGATGATGACGTAATTAATGTCGAATTATTGAATCCTGACACGATGGCGTAGCCTACTTGTTAATTGTTACTTGTTATTTGTATAGCGCCTTCTTTTCAGTTACGAAGCGCTGAAGTTCTTTTTCCCTGGTCATTTCGATACTTGGAGTAAGTATTATATACTATCTTATCTGAGATTAATCAATTGACCTTTCGGCTAACCCTTAATATAGCAATAGTTATAAGAAAATCAACTTTGGTATATTACATACCGTAATTATAATGACTAACGTGAAAGTTTTTCCTCTTGTCAAGTTGACTAGTAGTAGAGTCATTTTCATGAGATCCGTGACTAATTTTAGGATACCTGTTTTTCTCGATGGATTTGGCAAGATTGACCAATTTAGATAAAATATACCTCCCATATATGGGGGGCGATTTTTTTTTCCGTACGAAACATTTGTATGAAACTTCACTCGGGCCATCTCGGATTGACTCGAGTGAGTACGATACGAGGAACAAGAGCAGACACTTCGCAATGTCGTGACGCTCGAGTTTTA